ACACACACACACACACACACACACACACACGCACGCACGCACACAAAAACACACTCACAAACATGGACAGAAACACACAAAATCACACACACAGTCTTGTATCTAAACTAATTTGGGGACCCCTAAAAATGCTAACCTTCCTAGGACCGTCATTTTTCTAGACACTCTAGGAACATTACATACATACACACACACAGACACAGACACACACACACACAGACACACACACACACACACACAGTAAAACACACACACACACACACAGACATGCATAATATTTCCCCTTTAAAGCAGCAGAAACCGTTATAATCAGCTAATAAAAAATTAGCTGATTAAAACGCCGGAGTCTCTCCTTTATTTGTCGTTTTTTACTGTTTTTTTCTGACGTTTGACCAGAAGATCCAATCGCTCCCTCTGAGAGCCGGACAGGAAAAATTAATCAAACGCTGCTGTGACCTAGAAACCTGAGGACTTTTAGGAGATTATGACGCGGCTGATATCGAACTTTCATTATGAACGAGGGGATCAGCAACAGGATCCAGCTCCGATAGGACCGGGTTTGTTTGGTCGTAATGGGTTCGGATAAACGTGCTAATCCCACCTTTTGTTGTGTTTCACAATTAGAATCGCGCATATATTAGATCAGGACTTCATCCGAGGGATTGTTTTGTGTTTCATTATAATCTCAAATAGATTTTTTTTCGAACATAAAGCTCCAGAAAACCTTCGGTGTCAACGTGTGACCTTAGTTTAAATGCTAGTATGGGTCTGTATAAAGTAAATACTAAGTATATAAGTATACTAGTACTAGTATATAAATAATGTGTTTAAAGTGGCCAGATTTTTTCATTTCACCGTCGATAGTCTGATCAGCCATGGATGGATTTTCAGATATGGATATTAGATTAGCTTCGGATTAGATTCAGATTAGATTAGATTAGATTCAACTTTATTTATTTATATATATTTATTTATATTTATTACGAAATGCAGATATACAATGGTTCCATAAGTACAGGACATGGATATGTTCTGTACTTACTTACTTACTTACTTACTTACTTACTTACTTACTTACTTACTTACGTACTTACTTACTTACTTACTTATATAGTGATAAATACTATTTTAAGCAGAATTTTATGGATAGATTTGTCCTATGAATATAATATATACATAACTAGTATTGTGAGCTAAATTTACAGCTTGATTTGTACTGAATAAATATAGTAATAAACACTATTGTAAGCAGAATTTTACGGATAGATTTGTCCTATGAATATAATATATACATAACTAGTATTGTTATCTACATTTACAGCTGGATATGTAATATAGTATATAATATATACTATTGGGGACTCATTGGACTGAATTCGTGAGGGAAATAAGAGAGATTTCCCCAAATGGAGAGCTATTGGGCCTCTCTTTAAGAGGCTAAAGTTTCATATATAAAGTTCATGTTCAGGAGCAAAGCATCCTTCAAACGCTGACACTCTGAAGGTTACCCCATTTTGTTTAATCTTCTTATCACCATGGGATAAAAAACATAGCCTGCTAGCTTCCTCCCCTCCAGGACAGTTAGCAGAAACAAATAAAGAGGCATTTTCTGCTGTTTTTGTCCCCATAATTCATATTTATTGTGTCTAAGATAAAGTCAAGGAGCAGACCTCCCATTCATTCCTCCCCCCCGGGTGCTTGAAACCTATATTTTGGCCCAGTTCTCTATTTCTTTTTTATTTAATTAATTAATTTTATTTTTTATTTTTTATTCTATTCTATTTAATTCAATTTGTTTTTTTTTATTTTTTTTTATTTCATTTTATTTATTTCATTATATTATATTATATTTAATTTTAATTTTTTATTTAATTGAATTTTTTTCTTCTTTTTTCCCCTTTTTCTCTTTTTTTTCCCTTTCTCCATTTCTGTTCGCTGTCCTCCGGCTCAACCCCCCCCTCATCTTCTCCACCTGACTCTCTTCCTTCGTCCCAAAATCTATTTTACTCCTCCTCCTCCAGGCAAAGAAAGAGAAAATGTGTATTGTGATAGTGTCACAGTGAGCAACTTAATTAGAGGCTCTACATCATGGCTGCCTCAGGGCTCTGAGGGGGGTGGGGGGGGGGGATCTGAGTGCCACGCTCTTTAAAACAGATCTCTGTTTACCCTGGAAGTCCTTTAGGCCTTAGGGGCAGCGACTCCGTGTAGCCGTCTGTTCATAGCTGTTAAAAGCAATAAGACCCCCACAAACAGCCTCAGATATTCACAAATACTCAGTTTTTTGTTGAAAAAATGAGCGATAAAACATTGGAAATAAGTAAGTTGTCATCCAGATAAAACACCTGCCGCAATAAATACATCCAAAACATATTCTATTTTTTATTTCCACAACTAATTTAGAGAGGTTTTATAAGCATCTGTGTTCTTATATGTCACTTAGCTTTGAGCCATCGGCCATAAGAATAAAGAGTTTTTGCCTTTTAGCCTCCAGTTAAAAGTAATAAGACCCCAAAAAACAGCCTCAGATATTCACAAATACTCAGTTTTTTACAGGTTTCTGGATAAAGGTCCGAAGAGCCCAAGTCTTCTAATTTATGGTCCATCACTTCAGAAATTAAAAAAAGGTTTTTGTCTTAAAAAACAATTAGATATTTAGATATAAGCCAGATTAGTTGTCTTTTGTTAAAAAAAATATCGATAAAACGATAAAATAATATGAAATAAGTAAATGGTCATCCAGAAAAAACTGAACAAAAAAAACTAAACATAAAAAATGAACCTGCCACGATAAATACACCCAAAACATATTCTGTTTTTTTATTTCCACAGCTAATTTAGAGAGGTTTTATAAGTATCTGTGCCATAAGAATAAAGAGTTTTAGCCTTTTAGCCTCCAGTTAAAAGCAATAAGACCCCCACAAACAGCCTCATATATTCACAAATACTCAGTTTTTTACAGGTTTCTGACCGCTAAAGGCCAAAGAGCCCAAGTCTTCTAATTATGGTCCATAACTTCAGAAATTAAAAAAGGTTTTTGTCTTAAAAAACAATTAGATATTTAGATTTAAGCCACATTAGTTGTCTTTTGTTAAAAAAAATTATCGATAAAACGATAAAATAATAGGAAATAATACGAAATAAGTAAATTGTCATCCAGAAAAAACTGAACAAAAAAAACTAAACATAAAAAATTAACCTGCCACAATAAATACACCCAAAACATATTCTGTTTTTTATTTCCACAACTAATTTAGAGA